GGAGAGAAGAGCAAAACATCGAAGGGATGAAGTTTCTCTGTTGTAAGAATAGAGAGGGTTTTGGTGACATAACAAAGACTTTTTTAGTTGAGACTGGCTCTGTTATAGTTGTCTTAATTGGTACTCTCCTTTTGTCATTTGCCTAGACTCACACTGATAAATGAATAATAATCTTTGAGCACTGGTCTTGTCATTAATTCCTTGCTGCTGAGTCTTTGTGCCTCTCTTTCAAGTAACAATGTTTAGTTATCTTAAAGTCTAAGATCAGGAAAAGCTAGTCTTGATTTTTTTTTTCATCTTATTTTCAATTGTTACCATAGACAATTTCTATTTTTGAGATTACACTCTTCTCCATTATACTAGAACCTTGAGCTTAACTTTCATTTCTGCTACACAGTATATTTTCTGCTTAAAATGATCCTTGAAATTATCTTTAAATATTACAGTATTTTGCATTTGTTAAACACCAGTTTAATGGCACATTTTCCATTTTGCTTTTTCCAATTTCAGCTGTAGTTATCTCCTATTTAATTCAGGCCTTACAGAGTCTGTGATACTTCTGTGACACCGAACACACTATGTCTATGGGATATGCAGTTAAATGTTGGATAGGTATTGTCTTTACATGTTCTTAACACAGACTTAGTAAATTTTAATTAATAAAGAAAAAAATAAGATGAAAGATAAATAAGTAGCAGTAGGACTGCATTGACCTTAACTGGACATCTGCATCTGTTATTATTTGATGTGTATAAAAAAACAGCCTTTGTATTTTCCATTCATACATAGCAATATATACTGTTGATTCATATTATTTTGTCTTCAGACTCTATATCACTTTGAGTGTTCTTGCTTTGTTTATGTTTGTGATACTGGTATGGTGCTACTGTTCTATTTGTTTGTTTCTCACTACTCTAAATTAAAAAAAAATCAGATGTGGGGCGCAAAAGAAGATTGTTCAGTGATTCGTAGATGGGATCAACACATGCTGTAGCATCTATAGAAATATCTTAGTGAGTACTATTAATATGTACAATGAATGTTTTAATAAAATTGATATTAAAAAAGAATGCCAAGCAGATCTTGAAAATGGTAATTTGAAAGCAAGATATACATTGTATATTGTTGAGTATAAAGTTTGCTATTTTGAGAGCAAAATCTTATTTCCTGAGATGCAGGTATTTGTAGGTTTGCCTCTAATTTACATCATTTTAAAAAATAATATGAACACTACTTTTCCAGATTCCAAGATGCTCCCTTCATGATGCAGATATAAATGACCAGCATTATCTGAGGTGGAGATGAAAGCCTTCAAAAGAGTTTCATTATAAATTTAAAACTGTAGGTAGAGTGGGAAAATTGTGAAAATGGCACTATTTAATTTATCCTCAGAGCAAAGACTCCTCCAAAGCAGTCCCTGCTCAATGGATTTGTGTCTCCATTTAGGAGAAAACTATTCTGTGGCAAATATTGATCATGAAACCTTTCAAGTAAACATGAAATCTAACTTGAGACCAGCTCTAGTTAATCACTTCAGAGTAAGGTACTCAGATACACATCTATATTTAACCTCTATTTATACCTTTATACACAAACTGTTGAAAGTGAGGACAAGGACCTGTAACTTCGTCATCCTTAGTATATATTAAGTACATTCCTTAACTATATGGTAAACTCTGTTTAGATATGTGTCACATCTATCACTTTACTAGTTTCTGCATATTATAAGAGAGAAGGGAGTTATCATCTCCTGCCACAAATTAGGGAAATGAGGCTCAAAGTTAAGGAAATTTCCCAAGGTCATGGAGTAAATTCATGATAGTTTTGAAAATGGGAGATATCAACGTCCAAGCTACTTACAACTCTGCTGTCACATATGAAAGCCTGTCTGTAAAATTTTGTGTTTTTAGGTTCTTTTTTCTTGAAGAGAGGGTGTAAATTTATAGTTTCTGAATTTTGAAATATGAGTACCTAGTGATCTAGAAACTAAGTTGAGGATAAGCAAGGCTTTGGAACTTAATTCACTATAACCTACTAGTAGTAGCTGACCAGATGGTGAATCCTAGGTGGGAGCCCACAGAAAAGCGTGCCATATATCATGCAATCTGTGTTTTTCCAAGTGTTTCATTGAATTAGCAACTCACAGATGTTAGAAGTCTCCCCTCCCCTGATGACTATGAACCAGAATTATCAAGAAAATTAGTGTGAAATTAGAGTTTTAATTGAGTTTTAAAGGGAGTAAACATTTAGAGGCAGGAAAAGTTGTGACAACAAAGATTACTTTAAATCTTCTATGATTGTTGTATTCTTTCCGAAGAGCACCAAAGTAATGAGTAAACATATATAGTAGCAATAGATAATGTCATTTCAGTCCACAGTTTGTTCCTAATAGTCACATTTTATAATGAATTTAATTCTTAATTAAACAATTTAGTGGAAATAATAGACAACTTTGTAAATGCTTGTGAGTGGTGTTAAGTTTAGCCCAGAAATCATGTTTAATTTTGATGTTTTTATTCTTCTTTCTTAGGTTATTTTCTACAGCATCTGTAATTTCTGGAAATTTGCATTTTAGTCCCTAGTTTTGCCAATAGTGTGAATATGAGCAATTGAATTTTCACTTTTGAGTCTTAGTGTTTTGACAGAATTAATGGTGATGTTAGACAAAGACATTTCTTCGATTGAGGAAGCTGCATCATTCAGGTGCTTCTACTTTCCTGCACAAAAGTCTCAATGTGCTTTTATCAGTGGCTGAATATTTTGGCCTGCTTAACAGCGTGCAGTCTCCACCCATGCATTTTCTTCCTCACTCTGTCCTCTCCATTTCATCGGTTTTTCCACACTGAACAGCAGGGGTGGTTCATCTTCTCATTATAGGGTCACAGGTTCCAAATAAGTGAAGAGCAGAGAATATGTTCCTCTAGAATATGGGTGATGGTCTCAGGAAGTGACTGCAAAGCCATTGGAGTTAGTTGAGTATGGAGTGGTTCAGCTCACTGGTGGTCAGCCAGAATTTGAATCATGACACAGTGAGAATTTCCAAGGGGTTGGAGGTAGAGGATATATTAAATTGAATGAAGTTACCATCTAGGCAACATTTCTATGAGAGGATTCTTCAGATTTATGAATTTATGTTTTTAAAAGGAGAAGAATGTCAGTAAACCTGTTCTTCAGCATCTCAGTATCTTCTTAAGGAATAAATCTTCAGGAATTGGTTTCATGGCTCATCATCTGCTATGAATTGATTATGGTGGGAAATTTGGACATGAGAAATGAAACTCCACCATTTTCACCCCCTCCATCAGAAACAAACATACTTTAGGTGGGTATGATCAAAGCCAAGGAGAACATTCTAGTGCCCTCTTATGTTATTGAAGTTTATAATTCTGATCATTTTATAATGGGTTAAAGCCATAAAAATAAAAAAGTTATCTTGGTGGTACAAAATATCCGGGTGGATTTCAGACATAGTCAGCATGTTGACACAAAATATCAAAGCAGGTTGCAATAAAGCACTGAATACTTTTTTAAAAATTAATTTTATTGGTACACTATTATATACATAATGATCGCATTCATCATAGGGAATTTGTACCACCTGTACATAATATACCATGATTCTGAACATGTTAAAGAGAGATACCATTGAACAGAAAGGAAATGGGTAAATGAGCTTGAGGCAATGATAAAGAACAACAATATTTTATTGTTTACAAGTACAGTACTGACCATATACATTTACAGATATATGGATGAACTGAAGATGTACTTCACATCCAACATAGGTACAGAGGCATATGCTTTGGCAGAAACTAGGGTAAAATCCTAAACATTTTTACATTTGTTAGGTTTGGAGAAAAACCTTGAAGGGCCAGATGCAGCTATAGGGAAAACTTTGTTGAGTGCTGTGACCAAGAGAGGGATTGGTGAGATTTGACAGAAATCGTGAAAAAAAAAAAGGAATACTGGATGAACTGAGATATTATGGTAAATGAAAAAGTTCGTAACAAAAAGATAAGTACTGTAAGATTCCAGTTAGATAAAGTATATGCACTAGATAAATTATTTCTAATAGTAACCCAAACTAGAAAAAAAGGGAAAAGGGGATTTTGATTAAAGTTGCCTCATTAACATAGAGTCTCAAATTAGAAAAAAGTTCTGGAGATCTGTTTCACAACAACATGAATATAATTATTATCACTGCATGGTACATTTAAAATGATTAAGATAAATAATTTGTGTCATATTATTACCAAATTTTTGAAAAATGACGATTCAAAAGTAAAGCCTATGAAACATGATGAAAAGAAATTCACATTCTTTGATAAAGCTCATATTGTATTTTCCTCTAACTCTTTTACGTAGATGTGTTATTTAAAATACTTTAGTTTTATTTAACTTAATCTCAATCTACATACTACTCTTTCATTCATTTCCTTTATTTGGAGCTTATTTTCACATTTTAGATCACTCTTTCTTAGATGATGATCTATCCATTAGTTATAGTTAACGTTACCTTTCAATGCATCTCTGTAAATTTTATGGAAAACTGGGTATGAAAATCAACATACAATAGAAATGAAATGAGTTAAGATGGGACTAGATAAAGATGAATAGCGGCTTAATTTCTCTTTGTAAACAACTGAATTATTTTTCTTCTGTACTCTTCATTTTCAAATACTGTACAATTTTTTACTTGCTATCTCTTCCTGTAGGCTTCTGTCAAGCTTTGTTCTTTTTAAATTCTTAATTAATTTCAAGTATAAGATTTTATTTATAGTCTTAAGCATGATATCTTCTCTTCAGTGATGCTTTTATGGTTATAATATTATTATTATAATTATTATTGTTGTTCAGGATGTGTGAAAAAATGGATTGCCAAGTAATTCTCATTCATAATATGAACATACATAATCGATACTGCTATCATTCTTAATAACCATATCTTCTCCATTGTCTCAGATCTCATTCGATGAGCTGCAGCCCCTTTGGCTAGATTAATGGATGGAGGGAACCATTCTGTGGTGTCTGAGATTGTGTTTCTGGGAATCACTCACTCTTGGGAGATCCAGCTCCTCCTCCTGGTGCTTACCTCTGTGCTCTATGTGGCAAGCATGACTGGAAACATCCTCATTGTGTTTTCTGTGACTACTGACCCTTACTTACACTCCCCTATGTACTTCCTGCTGGCAGGCCTCTCCTTCATTGACTTGGGAGCCTGCTCTGTCACTTCCCCCAAGATGATCTGTGACCTTTTCAGAAAGCGCAAGGTCATCTCCTTTGGGGGCTGCATCACTCAGATCTTCTTCATTCATGTGATTGGTGGTGTGGAGATGGTGTTGCTCATGGCCATGGCCTTTGACAGGTATGTGGCCATATGCAGACCTCTGCACTACCTGACCATCATGAGCCCAAGGGCATGCATTTTGTTTATGGGTGCTGCCTGGGGCCTTGGTGTTATTCACTCACTTTTCCAACTGGCATTTCTTATTAATTTACCTTTCTGTGGCCCTAATGTGTTGGACAGCTTTTACTGTGATCTGCCTCTGCTTCTCAGACTGGCCTGTACAGACACTAACAAATTGCAGTTCATGATCACTGCCAATAGTGGGTTTGTCTGTATTGGCTCTTTCTTCATACTTCTCATCTCATATGTCTTTATCCTGTTCACAGTTTGGAGACATTCCTCAGGTGGCTCGTCCAAGGCCCTGTCCACTATGTCAGCTCACATCACTGTAGTCATTCTTTTCTTTGGTCCAATAATAATTTTTTATACGTGGCCACACCCTAATTCTCAAATGGAGAAGTTTCTTGCTCTCTGTGATTCAGTTCTCATTCCTTTTCTGAATCCAGTCATCTACACATTCAGGAATAAAGAGATGAAGGCAGCAATAAAGAGACTTTTTAAGCTATTAATGATTTTTAGAAAGATTTCATGAATAATATAAGATTATTGCTTTAAATACCATGTGGCCTATAAATCACATTTTAGAATTGGTGGTATTTATGTAGCACAAGTAATATGAATATTACTGTATTCTTTAAGAATGTTTCTGTGCTCCTAGCAGGAAGATTTAAAGAAATAAAACCTTAATTAAAAATTTAAATTAATTCAAGATGGGGCTACACAAATATGTAGCAGTTATATTTATTTGTTCCTACCTGGGTTTCTTAGCTTTCTTTTCTGTCAAGAGGGTCAGTTTATTATTATCTTAATAATTATTTATATATTTACTTATAATCTATTTTATTGGTAACCACTGAGCTAATTATTTACCTGTCATTTACAGTTCTTGCTTTTAACAGTAATGTTTCATTTACTTTTCCCTATCATGTGTTAGAAACTATCCCCATCTCATCCAAGTTTTTCAGACCTACTGTAAACTATCATTTTACTTTTTGATATTGAGGATATTGTTAGATTTCTACCAGAAAATTTCTGTTCAGATTTTTATATGTAGTTATGAGCAATCTAATCGCACACTTGAGGAATTCTAATATCTCCTGACTTTGTGTGTTTTACCTTTCTGTTTCCCCTTTCACTGTTTTCCCTTTCTAGTTGCATACTTTTGTTTTAACTGATAAAATCTTAAATCTAAGTAGAATGAGAATGATTATACATGAGCTAAAAATTGGTAGAAGCCATACGAGAAACAGACAAAACTGTACTCAAACATGTAGACTGAGGCAAGTTTCATAACTGATAGAAAAATGAACAGAAAATAAGGTAGGACGTAGAGGAGTAGTATAACATTCTTATCCAATATGATGCAATAAGCATTTGTAGAATAAAATGCCTAATCACAATAGAAAAACACTTTGTTAAATGCACATGGAAGAGATCATATTCTGGAGCACATGACAAATTTTGCAAACATAGTAAGTGAAGTAAATATAAGTGAAATCATAAGAAATAATTATGATACTAATATAACTAAATTAAAAATAGCAAAATAACTCAGAAAGATCTCCAATTACCTGAGAATTAAGCATTTCAAACAACATGTGGATCAAAAAATCATAAAGGTTAATTAGAAAATACATAGAACTGAACAAAAATGAAAATTTATCCAATTGGTAAAATTCAGTTATAGCTACACTTTTAATGAAAAATTAAAACTGGGGCGCTGAACATGTTCTGGGCTGCCTGGGAACACTGCACCAGGTGGTCTGTGATTGGTAACCACCGCTGTTCACATCTGGGCCCTGCCTGGTACATCAGGTGTCTGCAGACCCCAGACACTGAGGTCCATGGTCTGCCCCCACCACAATTCACACCTGAGCCCTGAGAGAGCCAGGTACACTCCATCAACTTCCTGGGGCACTAGACTAGGTGGTCCATAATCCTGCTGCCATGGCAGTCCACATCTGGGTCCTATGCACATCCTGAGCTGCCTGGGGACACTAGACCAGTTGTTCCAAGATCCCCTGACACCACTGTTTGCATCTGGGTCCTGCGCATACCCTGAGCTGCCTGGGAACACTGAATCAGGCAGTCCAGGTTTGGCAACCACCATGTTCACATCTGGGCCCTGTCTGCTGTATCAGCTGTCTGGAGAACCCAGACAGTGTGGCCTGTGATCTACTGTCATGAGAGTTCACAGCTGAGCCCTGAGAGAGCCAGATAAAACTGGATCAACTTCCTGGGGACAGTGGGAAAGGCAGCCTGTGATCCTGCCACCATTGCAGTCCACATTTAGGTCCTGTGTGTGTCTTCACCTGTCTGGGGGCACTCAACCAAGCAGTCCACAATCCGCTGCCATCACAATTCATGTCTGATACCTGGGAGAGCTGGATACACTTCACCCACTGCCTGGTGATCCCAGACTGAGCAGCTCATCTCTGCAGCCACTGATGGGCAAGTCTGACCACCAGAAAAACTAGGGATGATAGGGACTTTCAGTAAGTTGCCAGGAAAGATTGAGACTGAATGTTCTGCCTCTGGCATCAAAAATGACAAGACTAAGAACTCTACCACCCCCCCAGAACAAGTCCAGGAGAAATCAAAGTAGGAGAACTTGGTAGTCACACACCCGAAATCTCTGAAATGATTTCAACAGAAGTAAAGAAACAAGTGCATCAGATCATAGAAGAAATCAGGTTATAAATAATCTCTCAGATAAAAAATGAAATGAGAACAATAATGAAAGAATTGCTCAGCACATCTAAAATAGACATGGATTTAAAAAGTAGACAAGCAGAGGAAAATGATGGAAATGTTAAATGAAAAATATAGGAAAGAACTAGAATGCATGAAACAGATTTAAAGAGAAATCAAAGAAATCAAAAGTCCCATAAAGAGCAGGTAAAATCGCTGAATGAAGCCAAAGGTAGAATTTCAGATTTTGAAGAGCATGTTGCAGCTAATGATCTTGAAAGGATCTCTTAAAATTAACAAGGAACCAGGAAATATCAGTTCAACTGCTGCAAGAAGATGCAAAGAGAAATCATGTAAGATTAACAGGTGTAAATGAAACAGCAAGAGGCAATCCAAGTGACATAAAAAGAATATTTACAGGAACAATAGCAGAAAATTTCCCAAGCATGGAAATAGAATCTGACATACAGGTAACTGAGGCATATAGAACTCCAGTTAGCTATAAACAAAATAAAACTACACCCAGACATTTAATAATCAAGATCTCAGATATCCAGCAAAAGAACAAAATATTAAAAACCATTAGAGAAAAGAAACTGATCATCTATAAAGGAAATCCCACCAGAATCACAGCAGATTTCTCAACAGAAACCATCAAGTCAAGAAGAGCTTGGAGTGAAGCATTCCATGTCCTAAGACAAAACAGCTTCCAACCAGAATGGATGAATCCTGCAAAACTATCCTTCAAATATAATGGAGAAATAAAATATTTCCATGACAAAAAACAACTGAAAAACTTCATGAGTGCCAAACCAACCCTACAAAGAATACTAAAAGATATTCTAAGCAGTGATAAAAATGACCAAAATTTCAAAAACAACAATAGCAAGGAACCCTCAAGCAGAGTAAGCAATTAAGCAGAGAGAAAATGAAGGAAACCAACAGCAAGTAAGTAACATGACAAAGGTGAACCAAGACATTTCGGTTATACTCATTAATGTAAGTGGCCTCAATTCTCTAATAAAAAGAAACAGACTAGCAGAGTGGATCAAGAAACAAAATCCAACAATATGCCATGTACAGGAAATACATTCAACTTAAGGGAAAATTCACTGATTGAAAATCAAAGAGTAGAAAACAATTCTCCATGCAACATGGAACTCAGAAATAAGCAGGAGTAGCTACTCTGTTTATAGAGAATGTGAACATCAAACCGAGAACAATCAAAAGACATAAAGAAGATCAACACATACTTGTTAGAGGAAAACTGCAAGAGAAAGCAATAACAATTATAAATATGTGTGCACTAAATATGGAAGCACCCTGGAAAAACTGGCTTTCCACATGCCAAAGACTAAAACTAGATCCGTGTCTTTCATCATGCACTAAATTAAAGTCAAAATGGATCAAAGATCTAATGGAATAGACTGTAAGAAACAGGCCGAACCACAAACACACTCAGCCACCTAATCTTTGATAAAGGGGCCAAACAAACTCACTGGAAGAATGATAGCCTCTTTAATAAATGGTGCTGGAAAAATTGGCTTGCCACCTTCCAAAGACTGAAAATACACCCAAGGTGAAAACGTTGAAGACATAGGGGTAGGCAGAGAGTTCATGACCAAAAACCAAACTGCATGTGAAACCCTTGAAAGAATCAACAACTGGGATCTCATCCTACTGAAAAGTTTCTGCACATCTAAAGAAATCACCAGCAAAGTAAAAAGAAAACCCACAAACTTGGAAAAAATTTTAGCTGATTGTCCCTCAGACAAAGGTCTTCTATCCAGAACATATAAATTAGAAAACGTCAGCCCTCAAATTCAAAGACCCAATCCAAAAATGGGCAGCTGAGAAGAATACACATTTCTCAGATAAAGAAATAGAAATGGCAAATAAATACATGAGAAAATGTTCAACATCATTAATCATTTGAGAAATGCAAATTAAAACAACACTGAGATTTCATCTCACCCCAGTAAGAATGGCTAGCATTAAGAAATCAACCAGTAACAAATGCTGGCAAGGCTGTGGAGAAATAGGAACTCTTCTTCATTGCTGGTGGGAATGCAGACTGATGAAATCACTGTGAAAATCAGTTTGGAGTCTCCTAAGCAAACTAGGTGTAGAGGTCTTATTCAACCCAGCTGTTCCCCTTCTGAGTATTTTCTCAGAAGATCTGAAAATGTCATCTTACAGTAATATATAGGCACACATGTTCATAGTAGTGTAAATTTGTAATTACTAAACTGTGGAAACAACCCAAATGTCCATCCAGTGAAGGTTGGATGAAAAATTGAGGTACTTTTATATAATGGAATATTACTCAGCTGTAAAGAAAGATAAACTCGAGGCTCTATAAGTAAATGGTCATAACTAGAGACCATACTCATAAGTGAAATAAATCAGACCTGCATGTATAAGCATTGTATTGTCTCACTAGTGTAAGGCCGGAAAGAGTGAATAAAAACTTGGAGGTATGATAAACATTGTGAAAAGAAAGGAAAATGCTCAAAAGTAAAGGGCGACTGGGATGTGGGAAAAAAGAAGGGAAAGAAGGACAAATTATGTAAGTATGTATATACAGGATAGCTAACAGAGTTGTACTACTGTGTTCTATTTCTCTACAGAAAGGAACAGTTAATGATTACTTGTTTAATGAATCTTGTATGTCTCTATTTGTTTTCTTGAGAAACCACTTTGAGGATATCAATATGTCATACAACAACCATGGTTAATTTCCTACAACTTTGCTTGTAGCTCTATCTTGTTTGTATTGTTCTTATGCTATTTTGTAAATGGATGTCTGTTTGTTAATATGTTTTCTTTTTTTATCTCTTA